AAACAAACAAACAAACAAACACACACACAAACACACAAACACACAAACACACACACACACAAACACACAAACACACACACACACACACACACACACATTTTCGACTGTTTAGGTTAATCTTTGTTTTTGGGTTCGGGGTTTGGGTTCTTGAAGCTTGGGTTGTGTGCTGCTTTCCACTTGTATGGTCCTATGAGCCCTAGACGCCACGCCTTAAACCCCAAAGCATCTACATCCTGTAACTTACAGTAAGCCCTTGTGTTTCAAGTCTCTTTTTTGGTCGCTTTAGCTTTGCCAAGCTCGGCCCGGAGGCCCTGAAAAACAAAGCCCCTACTGACCGAACGTCTTGCAACCTTAAGGATTTAGGGTCAAAGGTAGCTCCAATGTAGGCGTGTTTTGTATTAAGAGGCTCCAAGTAAGTTATTTGGGCTTTATATGCCATTTGGGAGGTTTGAGTCCGCCAAGCATCGTCGGCTTGTGCTTGACTTCGGATTGCAGCTGAGTTGTTGCGTTTTGGCTTTGAAGATTCGCACCATGTGATCTATATCCTTTTTAAGGTTTGGGAAGGTTTGGGTTCGCGGTCCTCAAGCCCCACACTGACCCCTGCGGCTTGAAGCTTGAAGCACGAATCCTCACACCTTGAATTCACTGGACGACCAGCTCCGTTAGATCATGAAGCCCCCCTGCTGCAGCCTCCAGCTTCAACCTCATGGCTTTTTCTGGGCCTAAACCCTGCTAGGCCATCAGCCTTCATGATTTCGCAGTGTTGTTGAAGGCTTTCGGGGTCTAGTTGTAGTAGGGATTTGGGCTTTGAGGTTTCCAGGTCGTTGCGAAGGTTTCGCCGGGTTTTGACAGGGCGTACGGTTTGTGGGCTCCAGAGAGCTTGAAGATCATTGTTAACTGGGCGAGAACGGCCCCGACTTGGGGCACCCCTAATTCGCAAAAAGACTCCATACAGCGGTACACAGCGTTGTAGGAAACCCAGCGAATCGCACCGTTACCCTGCAGCCCATGGCTCCAACCCTCAACAGGACACTGCCGCCTACTGCCACTTNNGGCATCAAGTTCTTCGAGTGGGAGAACCCCAAGGACAGTTTGGGTTTGATGGACATCTGGGGAGCACTGGAGAGCTGATAACAATACTACGGTTGAGTTCCCGCGGGTTGAGAGCTTGAAGTTCGGTGTTTGGGGAATAGTTGCAAGCTTTTGGATCTAGGCGTTTAGGGCTCTTGAGTAGGCCAGGCAAGAAACTCTGAAACCTGATGTTAAAAAAGGAACCCTACGAAGTTTCAGAACTGACAATGCCATGCGTCTTGCTTGGGAGGACCTGAAGAAGTATGCCTCCATGAACTCCGAGCAGGTCACCGCGGCCCTGAAGAGCAGCAATTACCTCACCAAGTGGGTGGACTAAGAAGCGCCGGTTCCAAGGGACACATAGTAGGAAAAGGAGCTTATGGGCAGGCACGAAAGGCACGGTAGGATCAGGAGATAGCCTAGACTAGACTAGACTAGACTAGACTAGACTAGACTAGACTAGACTAGACTAGACTAGACTCATGCTTTTGGATAAAGGGTCAAAGCTCATCCTCGAAGAGCCGTGAGACCTTGGACCCTACGCACGGTTTTAGGAGCACGGCACCTCAGCCGGTGTCCATGGAAGCACCAGATCCGCCGATGGAGCAAGCTTCTCGGCGCGTTGGGCACCCTCGCGATCCGGCTGTTTCTCGGTGCTGAGCGAAGGAAAAGACTTGTCTGTCCAGGATACAGCACCAGCGTTTGGCGCTTCTGGGGCGTTGTTGCCGGTTCAATGTTATGCTCTCATTGCTTCTGTCATGGTCTCTCTTTCTCCTTCGCTCTCTGTCTCTCTCTGTCTGTTTATATATATATATATATGATTATACGTATGTGTCATCAGTGCGTATCGGCATTGTGTTTGTCAGCTGCTCTACAAACTCTACGAAGGAACAGTTACTGGGCGAGCCAAAGGCTAACCAGATAGAATACATGGTTATTCTGTAGTTCATTAGCAAAGCAAGCAAGCAAGGAAGGAAGCAAGGAAGGAAGCAAGGAAGCAAGGAAGCCAGGAAGCAAGGAAGGAAGGAAGGAAGGAAGGAAGGAAGGAAGGAAGGAAGGAATGGGGGCTCCGAGCCTGTCAAGGTGGCAGGATCTTGGATGCGCAGAAGCGCTGGCTCAGGGTTTAGGCTGAAAGCACTCTGGACCTATGGGGCGAACACTGAAACGGGAAACTCCCAGAGACCATATAAACTGCCCATAAACCCTAGATTGAGCCAGAAATCCGGTGACAGGAACCCCTCCGTACCTATAGTCGCACCAACGATGATACCAACAAGAGCGTGGTTCTCACATGAAGGAAGAAACATAGGTAGTTCTCTAAATCAGGGTCCCTTTCTAGGTCCCCAGTATAGTACGGCACCCTTATAAAAAGGACCCCCAAAAGGGACCCTAATTTAGAAAACTACCCACATAGGAGTTCCCATATTTGCGCCAGAGGTCCGGTGCTTTGAGGATCCGGTGTGTTCAGTACTTGCAGGATTTACACACTTGCAATGGGCGTGGCATGGCGTAGCCGTGATTGGCAAGTGGCCCTTGTCATATTTGGCGGAGATATATAATAAGATATAATAAGCTATACATCTTCAACATCTCCGGACTACTGCGTTTGCCAGCTGTCTTGAAGCACGTGCTGTGTGAGCACGATCCGCTACAGGCGGCGGAATCCCAACGCCAGGTAGAGCGCTGGCGGAGCGAGGCAGATTACTTGAGGGACGGGAGGTGGTTCGCTCATGAAAGGTGGCCAAGTTGACCGGGGCCGGAAAATTTGCATAAAACCGAGTTAGTTACTGGTGGTGAAGCGTCGTCTATCAAATTTATCTTCACTTAGTGCTGATGCATCGATCATCGGCTGCCGCATTGGCACGTAGCCCGACTTATCCCGAAAATTGCAGCACACTCCCAGAAGGCCGACCCGAGAAAGGGCGCTCATGACCCTGAGCTGCAAAATCCTTGGCCCCCTGCAGCCTTGGCATGCGAAGCCCTGAACAGATCGGGCACAAGGAAGAAAGCCCACAAGTCATGAGAACAGAAACAAGAGGTGGTCCAGCTGCATGCTGCTTTGGCTGCGGAGGACAGCCTGGATCCGATCATAGTGGGCTGGCCCGAAACCCTAAGCCCAGCGGCAGTCAATGTTGGGGCATTTTCCGATCTACGGTTTGCAAGTTGAATTTGTGGAACTGGGATGTTGGTGCTTCTTCTTGGAAGAGAGAGGGCTTTGTGTGACGGGTCTTTCTTTGCAAAAAGGTTTCTGACTTGCTCACAGAACCTTTCAACGCCCTGCCATTCAGAACTTTTGAAACTCAGATTACGCCCTCTTGTTCCCCCAAACCCGTGTTCTGAGAGCGCTTGGGACCCGCAGCTTTTCAGCTCTGTGCCGCCATGAAGCCAAAGTGAAGTGGCCCCGAAGCCGAAGTAAAAGGGGCGTCTGCCTTCTCCAAGTCCGATCAGTCTGATCCCCACCCTCCCAACGCTCCGACAGTTTAGGGTTCAGGGCCAAGCGTCCCACACTCCAAGCCTGAAGCTCCGGTCCTTGGCTTTTCTCCACGCCCTCGGCGCCATGGGCGCCGATGAGACGGAAGAATCCCCGACCGGGCTGCAGCAGCTCATGCTCTTCAGGTCAGACCTCTGTTTTTTGGGTGATGTGAAGGAAGCTTGTTCTGATTGTTTTTCAGAAGGTTGGTGCTTTGGGGTGTTGGGGATCGGAATCTAGAGGGATATGCAGCTGCGAGGTTACGATTGCAGCTTTTTGGCTTTGAAGTTTACTTAAACCCTTAACCTTAACCCTGAACTAGCCCTTTTCCGTTCAGGTTTCCTTGTCAAGGCTCCGAGAGCCCTCAAGCCTGGACCTTGACCGACTGAACCCTGAACCCCACATCCCAAAGAACCCTGAAACTCTTAGACAAACTAAACAACCCTCACTTTACGCCCTTGTAAAACCTAAACGTACCGAAACCCCGAGCAGGCATTGGTCACTTTTCCTGCCTCGGCTTACCTCAGAGCCTGCGAAGCTGAATGGGGCCTATACGCTGATGCGACAGCATCTGGGCTGTTTGGTAGGGCATTCATGTTATATGGTCAACAGGTTTTTTGTGCTTGTATGGCTTAGGTTTAGGGCCTGCAGGGTCTATAGTAGAGTCTTCGAGCTGGCAGCGTTCAGGATTTCAGAAGTCGCCATAAGTGGAATCGCCAGCACGTCGACCTTAAATCCTATTGATTGGCCCTAACTAAACCCCGAAGCCCTCAACCCCAAAACACCCAATCCCTAGCCCCTGGACCCTAAAGTTCCAAAACCGTCTAGAGCCCATAAGAACGTGTGTTAGACCTGTGATTGAATTCACCGATGACTCAGGCAGCGCAACCCTGCCTTCTTTGACCAGCTGCGCGAGAAGCTGCGCCTTGTCTGAAGGATTCCGGCTTTGGGGCTCGGTTTGAGATTTGTTGATTTGTTGAGGGTTTTTTGGCCTTGGGGTGGTAGTGAACAGGGTCGCTGGCCTTGATCCTAGCCCAATCCGTAGTTTGGAGACCTTCAACAACTCCCTATTAGGCATTAGAATTGGTAGTTGGTGTTAGTTTGCTGGGGATAGTCGTTGAAAGTCGAAGCCGATGCCCAGGCATCAGATTCTGCAAGACTGCGACATGCTGCATGTTTCCGGGCAGGTGCGACGGTGGGTTTTTCGCAATCCAATGGACCCAGGGGCTTACCTGCAGCTCGAAGCGCCAGTAGTTCAAGAGGCCAATACTAGGTTGTTACACCCTACGATCAAAGCCTTTAACGGGTCATAGCCTACTCTTTCGCAGGTAGGGTGAATTCTAGAACTTCGGTCTGCGGGGTTTGTTCGAAAGTGTTAGCTTGTGAATCCGTCTTCATAGCACAACGCAAAGAACTCCCGGTGTGAAGCCCAGGGCCCAGCAAAGCTTGCTGATGGGGTGGGAACCCTGAACCCGAAACCGTAGAAAATGCCTGGGCACGCTGGGCCATAACTAGTCGCTATGCATACAGAAGACCTACCCCCTCCATCCGATGTAGACCGTACGGACCGTACGTAAACCCTAAATTGCAAATGCACCGCAGATAAACCCTATACGAGGCATGTATGAACCCTGCACCATATATACACCGCATGTATGCCGTAAGCCGTTTATGCACCGTATACAACCCCCTGGCAAAAATCCAAAAAGCAGTACAGCATCTTTTAGGCCCCACATAAACCGTCTATTATAAACGTATATGAGCCCTAGGCCCTAGGCCTTAAAGATCAAAGAGGCTTAATTGGCCCTGAAGCCTAAACCCTGGAGCCGACATAAAACCATTAATTTCCCGGCAGGCGTGCTCCGTCGAAGGTGGACTGGAAAAGGTTCTGAACGTGCTTTGACCTGTTTTTAACAACGAGTGTTTTTAAAGTTCGATACGGTCATATGAGTGTTTCATTCAGCGTTCTGCAAGAGTTCTATCGGGGTTGCGCAGAGGGCTTGTACAACTTCTATAGGAGGTGTTTTAACAGCTTAGGCCCTTAGGTATAAGGTTTGGGATCTTACTTAGATAATGTTCGGGTCTTGCTTAGATAATGAGGGGAATGGGTAATTGGGTAGCAGATTTTGTTATGGCTACTTAGAAGTCATTTAGTTTAAGCCACTTACAACCTTACTTACTCAGTCTCCTTACCCGACAAGCAGGCCCTGAACCCTGAAGCCTTGCTATTTGGCTTTGGGGCTGGCTGAGGTTTCACGGGCCGACTTGACAGACTTGAATCCCTGATTAGACACGGACAAAGCGGCTAAACAAGAAACACTGATATACATATGTACAATTATATATACGGATGTTTAAAGAATTCGGAACCAAATGATATCGCCAAGTAGTGCATGCGACGCAGCCTCAAACTTGAAAAGCCGCACTGAAGCCGTGCGTATGCCCACGGGTTCCTTCAAAAGACATGGAAAGCTGCTAGCACTCTCACAAGCTCCCAGTTCAGAGTTTAGGGCTTAGGGCTACAAGCTTCAACCTTAAAACTCGGACCATCTTGGAATACAGAGCCCAGACGAAGACAGCAGTCACAACATAAAGCCAGAAAGTATCAAGGTGGTGCTGCAGTCTCTCGTTTTTGCGATGGGATTTTTGCAGAACCGGCAGTTTCACAAGGCGCTCGGCGGGGGGGAGGGGGTACTAGCCTTTTGTTGGGACCAGCTAGAACTTCGAAAGAGCCTTCAGCATTAAACCCTAGAGGCTTGAACCTAAAACCAGTAAGCCCCCCTGAGCCCAGAGCTTCCTAAACTTCACACTTTATGCACTCAGACGGGGTCTTGAGTTGTGGTTCGTTGCCAGGTAAGAAACCTCATTTTAGTCTCATGCCTTGATAGAGATTCGAAGTAGTACGCTTAGCAGTACACAAGGCCCTAAATTGAAAGACAACCCGGGATCCTGCATGCACAACCCCGAAAAGCTAAACCGCTCAACAAAAACGAGACTTCCAGCGCGCGAGGCCTTTGTGCTGGGCGAGCTCTGCGTGCAGGTCTCTGACCAGCTCGCCGACGCCGAGAGCACGGTGGACTTGAAGCTCGGACGGAGGTTTCGGGGATGACGTTCGTAATTCTTCTTGTCACTACGGTTGCCATTCGTAGTATATGATAGGGACTTGCAGTACATTGGCCGTTAGGGCCTTTGCCTTGCTTTGCCGGAAGAATATGGGGGCCTGTAGAACTGAATAATCACTAGTAGCCAGATGATCCTCTTCTTGTCCCCATTTTGCGTTGTACTGCAATGTGCCACCAAAATCCTGTTCTAGCTGCTAGGGCCCTTACATCACTGCTTTCGGGCTTGAGGAGCTTCCTGCCTGGTTTGCTGTTTTACCTTCAGGGAGCTTAGACCTCGAACTCTGAGCCTCCTAGACTCCCCGCAGGTTTCCACATGGGGCCCCTGTCCCTACAAACCCAAATCCTAATCCCGTTGAAGACCTTCAGAAAACATACGACCCTTCTCATAAACCGGGATCGAAATTGCAAAGACCCCGAAAATAGGGCGTCCGAAGTTTAAGAAACCGCCACAGAGGACCTTCTGGCGTCTGTTGTGTCGCGTCTACCTCGGCGGCGCCTATCTTCAGCTCCGAAGGACTGTCGTCCAGCAGAGGGCTTGCAGCATTTCGGGTTTTGCGTACGGCTGATAATCTTGCCAGTCTCGGGTCTTGGGGCTGTTGCGGATGCTGTTAAACCAGCGCATGTCGATTTACGTCCGGGTGTACAGCAAAATTGATCACAGGCAGCACGTCATCAGCCGATGTACTGCGACAGCTGAAATATGCCGGCTTGCACAGTGGTTGGTCTATGCCTGACCAAAGGATTTCACGTACCCAGCAATGCGGCATCTTGCTGTGGAGCTTCGATTGTAGGATAGGTGAAATGCTTCTAAACTTGGTGTTTTCTCATCGTGATCACTGTCTTCGTTGTCATGAAAATCACAATCGTCAGCATCACTATCGTCACCTCGATCCTCATCTTGTTCTGTTTCAGTGCCAGTGAACGCTCCAATCCCTCAGCTCCATGTCTCCTCGCCAGAGGACCGCCGATGCCCGGCGGGTTCTGGACGAAGCTCAAGAGCTCGGCGCAGCCGTGGAGGCGAACGTGCTTGTAAAGCACGCGCTGTTCTTTTAGATTTGTTGACAAACTTCTTGTGATGTCTCTGCTTGTTTTGCAGGTAGGGTACCGTGTGCCGGGACTGCATGAGCATCGCGTACAACGTTTGTCAAATTTCTGCCTTACATTCACTGGGAATTTTGAGTTGTTTTTGCAAGGACATGGCGTACCGAGTTGTAAGTATGTCCAAGTTCCAAGACGGAGCTCAACGTGGTAGGTAAGTAGTCTGCGCAGAGGCTTCTTTTCCTAAGCTCGCCGCACCTCGGTGGGTTTTGGGGTGGAAATGTGCTGTGTAGACAGCTTTACGACAACGCAAAGTGTCATGAAGACACACGAAGGGAGCCACAATTTCGCATGGCCTGAAGCCCTAAGCCCGGCCATAAGTCCTCAACCCCTCAGCCCTGAAGTTTTCAACCGTCAACTCCCACATCAAAAGTCTACACAGGAATAGAGATCCCCTAGCAACCCCATGCAGAGGAGACTCGCCAGACACTTCAGTCGATCTTGGGAGCCTGCAGCTACGCGCTGGCACAGGCAGACTTGGACGAAAGCTCTCCGGAGAAGGCTGGAGGGGCCACTGCTAAGATAATGATCATTATTCTTATTGTGTTTAGTACTGTGATTGCTATTACAAGCAATGTTGTTGTTACCAGTAGTTACCGTTATTGTCAGGTATGGTTATGTATTAGCATTATTGTTACTCTTATTGATTCTCAGTGCTACTCGTACTTTGATTATGACTATTGGCTATTGACTAATATTGTTGTTGCTACGATTGTTGTTGCTATTGTTATTCATATTATATCAGTACGTTATCTTTATTTATCATTATGAGTAGTGTCATCATTGTTTTGTGGTGAAAATCTGACTTTGGGGCATGCAGGATACGACCCTAAACCCTAAACCCGTGGGCCTTTGCAGTTAGCTATAGCCTCGGCCATCTTGGCGTTCAGCCAACCTAACAGGGCGGGAGAAAAGGGGTGTCAAAACAGCACAACCCTAAACCTTCTTCCCTGGGCGGGCCAGAACCGCCGACCTCGAAGTCGTGCGGTGGCTGTTTGGATATATTATGGCACGACACACACACACACGCATATATTGTGTATACATATATATATATATATACATATACACACACATACTTTTTATCTATGTCTACATATAGATACACACATAGATATGATCTTTATTGCTTCGGTTGATTCCCGAAAGGGCCTCGCTCTCCCAAACAAGCAACATCACAAATTAACCCCAGCCGTAACCCCAAAGTCTCCGATTCCATGAAGCAAGGCTCTGGATCACGTTGATGCAGCGATCAAGCAGATGGAAGGCAACATCTGGGATGTGTCGCAGAACTTGGAGGATTTTCCGTGCAGGGCTTTCGCGGTCTAGAGTTCTGTGCTCAAGGACTTGCGGTTTAAGTTTAGAGGTGAGTTTGTGATCCCTGCGCGAGAACTGGACGAGGTTTCTGCACTTCAGCTCTCGCGACCCCTTGGTTAGGAGCCCTAGTAGTGCAACCTCCTTAGGGGGTTCTATAAGGGGTTCCATAAGGGCTGTACAAGGGTTCATAAGGGTGATGTAGCCTGTGCAGCTCGGAGAGAATGTCCATCAACTTGCACAACGGTTCATGGTTTTTTTGGTTTGTAGCAGTCCTGGTTTCGCGGTGGTTTCGCTTCTCGGATGGTTTTGGCCGTGGCACGTTGTGCTGGGATCCGGGATTGGGATCCGGGAAGGACAAAGAAGTGATCTCCAACGTCTTGGCGACCTTGTACCATTTTCGCGGCCATTGCGACATGGACTATTTCAGACAATTTCAGTTGAAATGTTACATATACAAGCACGCACATACATATTACATATGTATGCATGTATGTATGTATGTATGTATGTATGTATGTATGTATGTATGTATGTATGTATGTGTGTATATGAAGGCATGCACACACACACACACACACACTCATGTACATGTCCATATGTAAGTTTCCATCCACACCATCCTTGGACCATTGTAGATTCGCGAGCCTTTCAGCCCTAGTCTAGGCTGCACTTGAGGCGACTTCCTCTGTGACCGCTTCGACGTGGCACTTTCCTGGTACGACAGTGCGCTGACAGTTCTAGGCCCTTGGGTTGGGACTGCAGGACAAGGGGCCTGAAGATTTCATAGTCGTATTTCGTTAGGGCCAGGGTTTCCTGATGTATGTACAATGCATCAATCTCTTGAAACATTAGTCTGAGGATGAGGTTTCTGGAGCAGCGAGGTTGAGTCAGGCCACCTCTTTTGAGATCATGTGATATAGGACCTGGTGTTGAGGATGGGATTCGGATTCGCCACAGATGTGGTTCAAAGCTTTCGCGGTGGTCAAGCACGCACCCCTTCCCTTGATTTGCGAAGCACCTTCTGTGCTTGGAGTCGCAGTGCCGTGGTAGTGAATCGTCGTTAAAGCCACTCGTTGATTTCGGATTGATCGACTGAGGGCCTTGCGGCTAAAGTCAGTAAAGGCGTAATACGGAGTAGATATGACGGCTGTTGTTCTGGCACGACTCTATAGCTGTATAGTTGCAGTATCGAAATACTTCGAGTTCCACCATGAATCGGCCCCAGAAAACGTGACTTGAGTGCCTCTAGACCCTAAGCCCTCACCACTTGAAAGACTCACAACCTAAAGATGTCTATGTAGAGGCTTCTCAGCCCCCTTGTGTGCATTGTTGGCGGCGCGGACTTCTGAATGAGACAATCCGGGATTTCTTTGGACGTCATGGCTTTGTGCCCCGATGAGTGTCCACTTGGTTCTCGACGGCCTCAACCCTAACTTGCTTCGCCTGGGCTGGGTTCAGGAAACAAGCTTAAGTAAACAGGCTTAGAGACAAGCTAGACCCATCGCTTTTTGCCTTTTCGATCCCTTGGAAAGGAGAGCACCGGGACCTGGGTACCGACACGGATGCCATGGTGGCCTACGTGAAACACGACATCCAGCGAGCGATCTGCCTGAGGCCCAAGGCCGAAACCGTTCTCGAAACCGCTGCAGAGCCCGCGAGTTGATCCGATCTTACCTACAGAAAAAGAGCAAAGCTTCGAGCCTACCGCTCCAAAACACCATCAGAAGCCCGAAAGCCACGAAAGCCCGAAGGACATGCTCTGCAAGAGCTCTAAAACGCCCCGTGGGGGGCTCTCAAGAACTTGAGCGCCTCTCCCGGGTCGCCTCCGCGTCTCTTCGGCGAAGCCGAAAGGAACCGAGGAAGATCCCCCGGACCGTCCTGAAGACTTCTCGGAAACGTCTCGCAGAAGTCGGTGCTTAGTCTTGGGTTCTTGGTAGGCTTTGATGAGTTTGTTAGTTGTCGTTCAGGGATTGTGGGTTGTGGAAGGGTTTTGGTGGGGCCAGTGCGTCCGTTGCTTTTTCCACTCCGAGAGGCGAGAGGTGTCGGGTTTCGGGGCTTCAGCCTGGAAGGATCTGGTTCCGAGAAGAATCCATGAAGGCTTACGGCAGCCCGGGGCTGCACCGGAGCATCAGCAAACGGCAATTGCTGCGCGAAAAGTTCGAAGCAACGATCGGCTTTCCATTGATTCCATTGGACTCTTAGGCTCTAGACTAGCCTGCCGCCTTGCTGAGGAGGACTCGGTGCAGCGTGTGGGGCCCAGCACCGCCCAGCATGATGAGTCCAGGAGGCTTCAGAAGTCAGGAAGTTCCGAAACAACCTGAAAGCCAAGATCGTGGGTCTGAGCTGCCTTCCTTTGGCCTTAAATCCCGAACGCAGACGCCTTTGACCCCTATGATGATTCAAGGTTTCAGCTGTCAGAATTGAGATCATGATGAACCTCGAGGCTGAGGAACGCAAAGGTTTTTATCAGAAGCTTTCCAACGACCTGAAACCCCAATCCAAATTATGCAGTCCTGTGCAGTAACACGATCATGTCTGCTGCTAAGGTTTTCTGGATCCACAGCTTTCTCTGCATCCAAAATTGCGAGCGAGCCGCCTCTCTGCCCAACAACGCAATTTCTGTCTAAGCAACAACGCACGTTGAGCTCCACGCTGCTGTGCCTTCAGGCTCTCCTTCCATCCTGAAGTCGCCTTCCCCTCCTCCCCAATTCCAAGACCCACAACCATCGCAAGCAAAAAAACCCACTGTGCGGCCTCAAGAAAGCCCATGGCACCCCATGCAACGTTGCGCAACCCGACAAAAGCGTCACCTGAAGAGGTCTGAGCCAGCGCTGCAGCGTCGCTCTGGGAGCCCAGCAGGAGCAGGCCCAAGCTCGGAGTCGGAGTCGGACATTGAGTTTTCATTGTCAGTGATGGTGACATGGATGGTAGTGATGATGCTTCGAGGATCACCCTGATGATGACGATGGTGATGATGTGGTGTTGGCGGCAGCAGGCAGTGGCGCGATAATGATCATGAATCATGATGATACCAAGCTGCTAATGTAGTCCAAACATGCCGGTGTGGTTGATTGTTGTCGTGAAAGCCTCACCCCGGGCGTCGTGGCAGTATTTGTTATCGGGATTTATCAGGCATCGATGCCGGCTTGGCTGGAACACCCAGCAACAAGAGCTCCCAACAGAGCATGAAGAGCAACGTGCCGGAAACATGAAACTTCCGGGTATGTTTCAGTGCAGATGCTGGTCAGGCCATGTTACGCCAAAGGCCTCAACCCATAAAATGAAGAATGGCAAGTGCTGCAGCCACCGGTCCACGAGCAGCATGAAGCACGAAGCAAGAGTGACAATAAAACGCTCCGAACCCTCAGTTCCCAAATCCTAAGGCTTTGCATCCTAAGCGCTGCACCCAATGAAGGCAAGGGCTGACGAGGCCAAGCGGCAGATGGCAGAGAAGGCCTTGCGTGAGCAGGCTCGGGGAAGAAGGGCCTCTTCAAAACTCTGGGGTTTAGGTCCGTTTAGGTTTTTGGCGGAGACAAGATTAGTTTGGGCACTTAGGCTTCAAGGTTTGAGGGGTGAGTGAGGGTTTTAGGGCTTTTAGGGCTTTTAGGGCTGTTGCGGCTCCTTCCCTGAAGGCAAGGCATGCAAGGAGCCCTTGGGACCTGAGAGTACAGAGCCCCAAAGGCCCCAGTCGACTTTTCCCGACTTCTTTATTTATATATGTATACATACATATATATATATATATGCACATATATATATATATATATATGTATATCACAGGGTTTCTATTTGGGGTTCAGGGCTCAGGGTTTTGAAGCCTGAAGCCTTTGAGTCTCAGTGGACCCTGCCCGGTCGTCAGGTGGACGCCCTGCGCTCGGACGGCGCCCGCTCCCTGGAGCAGGCGAGGCTTTCGGTTCGAGGGTGTAGGGTTTTAGGGAGCCCAAACCCTAAACCCTAAACCCTAAACCCCAAACCCTAAACCCTATATGTGGTTGTGTCGAAAAGCCCTGGGGAAACAAAGCGAGCCCCAAAGCCTGAACCATCATCGGGCTTGTGGGTTGAGGCATATGCCCTAAAGCCGTGAGCCCTCGATCAAAGATGCCCTGGCCCTAAACTCCGAAACTGCAGAAACTCGAAACTCTCGCAGGGGTCCATATGCTCCAAACCTATTGTGAAAAACCACTTATTTAAACCTCCGGAAACCCTTCAAGGCTCCCTTAATTGCAGGAGCCCCCTGATGAAGCCCTCCTCATGGAGGTCTCAAGGGAAACCCTTTCGAACAAACCCCCGACAGGGGCCTTAGGGCCTTGAAGGAGCCCTCAAAGGAGTTTTAAAGAGACCCTCACCCCTAACCCCTAACCCCAGGCAAGCTCTTTTGTAGCCATTTTCCTCAAGAGACGGAGGCTTTGGAAGCCGAGTCCGAGATGCGCTCTGCCGTGGCCGGCCTGGAGGCAGGTCCGGTGGCTAAAGCAGCGGGTGCCTTTTAGGATCTTTTAGGATTCTTCAAGGGATGTGTCAGAAATCTGGTCCTTTCAGGTGTCTATGCAGGATCTGGGGGATCGGTGAGGAATCTCGCAGGGTGCGACATTTTTACGCCTCCGTGCTTCTTATGCAGGGTTTTCAGCTTGGGATTTGACGCTCATGGCTTGGTTGTGTGGTGACGGGTTCTTGAAAGTATGGTTTCCGGATTTAACTTGTTAGGATCTAAGGTTTGGAGAATCCTTTTTTTCCGGAGGGGTGCGGCGGAACCTGTTCCACATCTACTGAGTTCAGGATGCCGCTCGGGCTGATGTATGGTTTGCAGCTCTGTGGAGTGTATTTGAGGGTTTAGGTCTAAGTTGAGGTAGTATCACATACATGTATATATATATATATATATATGCATACACATACACACATATGTAGATAGACCGATAGATAGATCGATCAGATAGATAGACAGATAATAGATAGATAGATAGATAGATAGATAGATAGATTCTGTAGAGTCATAGCTACACACCTGTGGTACTTCGAGCATGGCTCTAGCGTGTAGTGCAACGTTTATGTACAAATGCCTACTGTAGTAGTGGCAGGAGGAACAGCAGTAGTAGCGTCACCTCAAATGAATTCCGAATTATGGCACAAAGCTTCGAACCCAAGCCCAAAGCCCTGAAACCCTAGAGCCGAGGCTAAAACTCTAAACCTTGACCTAAGCCCGCCAAAGAACTAAAAGCGTGAAACCCCAAAACCCCAACCTCTTAACTCTCGGGACATCGACCCCTCAGATTTCAGGATCGCACACGGGAGCTGCAGCAGCAGAAACAGCTGGTCGAAGACTCAGGGGATCTCAATCCAGCAGAAGTACTTTCTTGCAGGTTTTCTACGAATTCTGCACTCGGGTGTATAATAAGACTTTGTAGAAGAAAGTTGGATGTTGTGGCTTGAAGTATCTTTCATCTCAAGTGATCCGTTGCATAAGGAAGCCCAACCCCCCCATCATTTAGAAAGCGTCAGGGTCTTGAGTTTTCAAGGTAACCCCTGTATGCTAAATCCTTCATTAGTCTCAGTAGGGGCCAAGCAATGCCTCAAAGGCCAAGTTCCAAGGGACCATTAAAGGTTGCCGTTCAGGGCTCAGGAGTTTGAAAGGGTTTATGGTTGCGCCTTCCGGGTCAGGATTTCATGAAAAGAAACTGCAGGTGGGGAGTTTAGGGTATATAGGCCTTCTATATGGCTTCGATAAGGTATATAGACCTTCTATAAGGCTCCTATAAAGGTAACTACCCTCCTGAAAATGTCCTAGATTTCATGATCATGATGCTCAGGCTTGGGGACTCCAAACCAGGTCGTAGGATTGGGGGTCGGGCCTTGTCGCTGGACGACTTAGAGTCCAAGGGAGGCGGGCACAGCAAACAAAGGTTCATCATGATTATAATGTATCCGAAAGCTTTCAGCAGACAATGCTGAAACCAGAAAACCCAAAGTGTGGTGGGACTTTGCGAGCAGGTCGCCGCGCTGCGGGCGGAGATTGCAGAGCAAGAGGACGGACCATTTGTTTTGCTAGCTGTATTGATCAGAGGGGTTGAGGGTTTACCTGAACAGTATGTTTTGTTTGGCGCTTTCTTATGAGTTCCTTGTATGCGTCTTGGAAAGGGTAGCTTTTGAGGTTGTGGGGCTTTGGGTGTAGGGTGTAAGTGTAAGAGTGTAAGATTTATCTTTAAGGTTACTGTACGGGTTCGGGGCTCTATTAGAATTAATAAGTGTGTTCATGGGATTTTTTGGAAAACGATTTTGAAACTCAGGCGGTGTCGGTTCAAGGAGCATACCTGTTTGGTTTCTTGGTATAGCTTGGGTTTAGGGCGTTGCAATCCTGGGCTTCAACATGCCTGCTGGTTTCTTTTTGCGCCGCCCTGCTCCACGTTGCTCCCTCATCATGTATTCGCGCATTCGATAGGATGAAGTTCACACCAAAACCCTTTGAGCCTTGACACCTGGCCGCATGCATGGTGAAGCATCCGTTTCTCAGAATTTCTGCAGGAGCAGCTAGCCCAATGTTTGACTTCCCGAGACCCAAGAGGATTGACCCGAAGCACCAGACGCAGTGTTTTTTCAACTTCGAAAGCAAGCCGATACCTCCTGCGAGTTCCACACTCCACCCTGCGGCTCTAGTCATGTCACTTCCGTTGCCAAGCTTTACCCCCTGTCAAAATCGGCGCAATAGGAATCTGCCCCTCCGAAAGCTCCTACCCTAAGCTGAAATGTGGAAGCCGTAGACCCAGATCGCAAGGTTGTGCATGCAGACCGCCAGCGATCCGATGAGGAGTTGGGACCTTGGTGAGATATGGCCCGGCGAAGGATCCACAGCGTAGAGGTCTGAAGACCTCATCATACTCGTACTATTCTTGTAGGTTTTTTTTGTTTTAATGTTGATCTTGCCCACACCCACATGAAGCTATATTCTAATTGATGTGGCCCACTGCATTCTGGTGGCTTCGGCTTTGGGAGTGAGAATTTGTGAGGTGTCGGGATCCTAGAGGTTTCAGGGTTCTCGGTTCAGGATGCAGTGTTTCACGTTTCGGGCCAGGGATCGCGCCGGTCCCCAAATTCACTCTTGTAATAAGGAGCCCAGCTTCCCATTTTGGGCCTTTCAGCCTTCTGAGTTTCGGGGATCCTTGCTGGAGGCTCTCCACGGCGCGGGAGCACGTGAAGGCTGTGGAGGTGCAGCTAATGACCCCAAAGCTCAGGAGTAGACTCACTCCCTGGGACTATCCAAGAGATGTTAGAATCCCTAAACCCTGAACGCCTCAGCGAGCTTGGGGGGGATAGGGTCCAGGTCCAGAAATTGGGCTTGGCATCCGAGGTGACGTGCTGCTGTCAGTCTCCCGCCCTTGAGCGTACTGAGTTGCGGTTTGATGGTCTTCAGATATCTTCAGCCTGTGTACCCGAACTCTCGGAAATTGGCACTTAGATCTAATAACTGCCTTTCTCGCTCTGAAACCGCAAGCACTCTTGGAACGATCCCCTAACTACTTTAAGACGGAAATCTACATTCGGCAAGTCTAAGACTCCTACATCCCAAACCGCCTCGAAACCACTCTCAAAAGCCGTAAAATTCTTGCAGCACTTGGGCCGCTTATGGCCACTTCTTACATTACATGCCTTTGGCAGCCACGACTCTTGATGCTGAGACGGCTGAGATGCCCCCCAATACCGTATACCCTGCATCACACATGCCTACTAGTTGTTGACGACGCTGAAGAGCAGCTTGTTTGTTTCATGTCGATTGCTTCCAGCTCTGATCATTACCACCGTCGATGTTCTTGTCATGATCATGATGGTGAGACTGTTTATGAAATGGTTCCATACAGTCATACGGTCGTCGCAAGAGCTGACTTGTTCATTGCAGGCAGCAGCGGCACAGGCGGCCACGGCTGCAGCCGCCGAATTTCGAGAGGATGCCCTGAGATTCTAGAGCTCCATTGAGGCTAGGAATCTAGAACCTTACAGTTTTTTTTACAGAGGGTGCAATGACTGTAGCAGGCTTGCAAGGTTTAGCTCTTACGACTTTGGGGTTTCGAACTCTGGGATCAAGTTAAACAGCCATGACGGGCGATGCAGATTCAGTAGAGGCAGCCGACCGTGGAGAACCCATGGAAGGTAAACCATGGCCGGTTATCATCACCCTTCGGGGCTCAGAAGTGCCCCAGGGGCGTAGTGATGCTTGGTTGGCCGAGGCCTTTCGTGTCTACCTGGGTCCAGACAAAGACCGGCAAATGCGAAGCGGACCACACAAGCGTGTGTTGGAGCGATTGTTGGGGAAAAGTGTGGGAAAGAGCTCGCCAACTGTGGTCCGGAGCACGCTACCCCGAAAGAGGGGCGCCCGTGGAAGTTAAAAGTCAGCTTGACATCGCTGGCTCCAAACAGTTTCCGAGCACACTGGACTTGCTTGTGCAAGGACCTGTCCAAGGTCAAGAACTTCGCATGGATGTTAGGGCCGATGCGAGCTCCGCAGACACAAGCACAGAAGTAGCTCAGGGAAACACTCAAGGGGCGCACTGCTTGAGCAGGGGCGTCAGTAAGCAATGTTGTTCTTTTCCTTCCCGAGATGGTGCCTCATTGCATGTGTTCTTTTCTTATCTTTTGACTACTGCATCATGGCCAAATCCTTCGGCTCAGCAGCATCTGAGTTTCAACCACCTTCATCTTCCCGGAGCCCGGCAATGCCGACGCCGCAAGACGTGCTACGCCGAGACATAGATCTCCTAGGACAGCAGAGTCGTTCTTGCACGGTTCACGTCCCAGGATGCCGAATATGATCGGCTCCAAGCCGCGAATCAGCTTCGTGATTTCATTTCTGCAGCAATGCCGGTGACAAATTACCTTTCAATCGCTAATGGGTAGGGCACCACCAGATAACAGCCGCCTGCGCGTTCGACAAACTGGACGAGCTTTGGACCAAACCAACGAGCCAAACGATTCAGCACGCGGCCGACGCAACCAGAGGTCTTAGCGAAGAGGATTTCTGTTGCACCCTTCGCTCAGGGGGGTTTGGAAGGCAGCAGGGAAGTTTGTCATGCAGAAGGGGCACGACGTATTCAAAATCCGATTGAAGATCGCAAGAAGGTATTTCTCCGTAGCTTCCGTGTACGCGCCTACGTTTCAGTGTTTTGATGCAGACAAGGACTAGTTCTATGGCAACCTTAATGCGCTAGTGACGGCTGCCGACGCTCGAGACGAGCTAATCATCATGGAAGACTTTACCGCAAGTGTCGGAATCGTGCCGGAACAGAGGAGGCTTGCAGGTTTTATCTGCGCGATGTTGCGGGGACCCATGCGCTGCCGGAAACTATGATGACAATGGTTCGCGATTGTTGGAGCAGAATGCGTCGCAGCGGCATCATAAGCTGCGAATTATCAGTGCGTGTTTCCAACACAAGTAACAGAAGGAAGATGGTCGTGGTTTCGTCCTTCTTCGTGCAAATGGTTTCAAATTGAACATGTCCTTTGAAGGACGTTCGGGCTATGGTGCGATCCGAGCAGTGCTGATCACTGGTGCGTCGAAGGTAAGCTACGTCTTCCGCCGAAAAGGTTTGTTGGGCGATGGTATAACAAAGGCGGCGATAGAGTTCGGGATGGACGTCCACCAGGAGTGCTGGTTGATCGATTCCATGACCTTGCGACCTGTGAGGCGTTCAATCAACAGTTACAGTACGTGAACTTGCGGCGGAGGGCTTTATTTGACGAGGGTTACCCTTCGGTCATGCATTTCGGTTGGTAGGATGAGCGAAGTTTGGCGCGGTACCCTCATTGCCTCTGGCACCACAGAAGGTGGATCGTCGGGCGAAGTTGGCGGTTCTGAGCGATGAGAAAAAGATAGCTAGGGACCCGGAGAACCCCAGCCCGGAACGACACAAACAGGCGTGCAACATGGTTAAGAAATCTTAGCAAAACCACAAATACTGAATTCTTGGTGCGCTCAGGAAGCGGAAACTTTTCAATTGATGTTTCATTCCAAAAATCATCACTATCAGTTTGCCGGGTACAGGGAATTGCACTCAGTCGTGGTAAAACATGGGGAAGCCACAGTGAAGCTCAGGGATGCTAAAGTGAACTTATTATTCACAAATCGGCGAGTGCTCAACGATGGCAGGAGTATTTCTTTGATTTGCTTAAAGTTCCACCTCCGTATTGCCGTCCATAAAGGAGTCCTTAAAAAATTCCTAAAACTTTCAGCTAACCCCAAACCTAAAGCCCTATAATCCCGTAATATCCCGTAAATTTTTTCTGGGATCTTTTCAAGCTCGAACCAGGAGATCGCCTCCCTGCACACCAGCTACGCGCGTCGGCTGCAGGCCAAAGAGGGGCAAACAATTGCTACGGTCGAAGGACTCTTCAAGCGAGGTTAACGCGGTCAAGGTTTCCAGTGTCCTCTTGGGTTTCCGATGAGCAGCTTACAGCCCAAGCTGGTAGCGTTGAGGTTTTGTATGGAGGTTTTCCGGTTCAGGGCTTACCCGTGGTGTACTTAGGTTTAAGAATGCACATGTTCCAAACCAGTAAGCCAAGGCTTTGGGCCCCCGAAAGCAGGAAGCCACTTTTCCAACCAGAACCCCTTCCGACCCATTCTGTGTCAGGGTTGAGGGTTTATTGCTAGGGTAGCAACCCCAACCATTGAGGCACCTATGTCTCAGATAACTGCTAGGAGATTTGTTGAGAAATCAACCCAACTCCAAAGACGAGAACTGTTCCAGCGAGTAGCCCCTGGCCTGTTTGAGGGTATTGTAAACACCCTGTGTTATCTTCGCGGGGGTCTCATAAGTCTCCAATACGAGCCAGAAGACGAACTTTCAAAACCTGGGTCGCCAGACAGCCTTTCCCCGAAGCCCAGTCGTCCCAAACCCCGGGATGCTGGGTTACGGCAAGGTTTGCTGTTTGTCTGTTCTAGCTGTAGCTGGCCAAGGGCACTACTACCCTAAGGCCATCGCAGAGGTCTCCTTGTCCTGAAATGGTGAAGTCTGAACAATTCACCTTTAATCTCGACTGCCCTTACCCCTGCTGCCCCCTAAAACTTGAAATCTTAATTATATTGTTTTGTATACTGTATATGGTATAATATTGTATCATTTATTATGTATGTTGTATGGATATCAAATTCTCGAGAAGCGTAAATCCGGAAAATCACGGAAACACCCTGAGACCTTTCAGGGCCTCCGCGCGGAATGCGGCGGCCAGCGCCGTGCCGCGGAGGTCGTGGAGGCAGCGACTTTGTAACAGGCATGTAGCAATAGTGACAAGGGTTTTAGGGAAGTTTTCCTGACAGAACTTGTGTATCTTTGTTAGCAGCTGGCCAAGCTCTTGCACGCGCCGGAGGGGCTACAGGCGGCTGCAGCCTCTCAAAACTATAATGTAGCGCGCCATGGAGCCACCAATTTTGGCTTGCTCGATTGCCACACCTTAGATGTTTGCGACGCTGAAAATTGGCTAGATTCCGCCCGTTGAGAGTGATGCAGCTCCCCGCGACATTGAGCCAGGATCCCGAAGTCCAGTGATTCAACAGACTTCGCCTGACCCTACTTGGCATCTTTGAAACATCCTGAAACCTTAGCCACCTCAAGCCTGGAGCGTCAGAGGACGAGCTGCGGCAGCTTTGTGCAAAGGAGGTGGAAGCAAGCAAAACTGCACAGGTGCCAGGGCGGCTTTGGGTCCTTTTAGCTTTTACGGTTGGCAGCGGGGTGCGGAAGCACTTGCGCTGGCTTGAATGAGATTTGTTTTAGCGTAGGGCTTACACTTAGATGGTTCAGTTTTTTTGTTGAATTCCGAGGTGTACATTGATTGGGAAACTTAGTCGTGCTGAGGTAACAGAGAACTTGGAGCTTTCACTTAGTAGCCTGTGAGCGGCAAGACAAGTGCAGAGATTGACGCCGAATCCTCGTAAGACACAGAACTCACAGGACCATTCGCGAACCTGTTTGAGCACGGTTGAGTTAGGCTCAATGAGCGGGTGTTGCAAGTATCATGACTGCCTCTCGTTTCCTCTTAACTGTAAAGTCAGTAAAGTCAGAGATTCGGGAAAGTTTGCGCCAAACGTGAGTTTCATCGGTCGATATCCATTTAAAGTTCAGTATCCTTACCCACCCTAAACCCTAAACCTAAACCCTAAACCCTTCGCCCATTTGCAGCTGGAGCTCCGGCACATCTTCGGCGAAGAGTTGGCCGCAGCTCGCGACGCCCAGGCCCCTGGGCAAGCTCTCGGAGTTTAGCCTGCGTAGGCCTTGGGCTTCTCGGGCTCGGGTTTAAAAAGTTTTGCGGTTTGGCAGTTTAGGACTTCGGCTTACGGTCATATAGGGTTTTTAGGGTTTGGTGTTCTAGAGGGTGAAATTTGGGGCTTCAGGGTTGTAGGGTCTCAATGAAACGGAGCCAAAGGTTTAAGGAAACTGGATTTGAGTTTCAGCATCTAGGCTTTAGAACACTGCTTTTGCAGGATGAGGTGGGTGTTCCGAAAGGTATGCACGTATGTACGGCCCTATCATAACCCTGTCCAACTTACAACTATGCTTGTGATTTAGCATGCTGCTGTTTGAGTATACCAGTTCTCAGCTTTTCGTGGCGCTCCAGCAGTTCGCGGAGTATCGCAACGCAAAGCAGGGGGGAGTCAATTATGCGCTTTTTCCTTTAGAGAAGCTGCTCGAGCTGGTAGCAAAAGTGGAGCACACTTGGGGCAGCCCCGATGGTTGAAAACTTAACCCTTGAGACAGACCCTCGCTCATGGCGATTGGCGGTCCACTTGGGGGTCGCTTAAGGGAGTCGGGACAACCGATGCAAGCCTGCAGCTGGAAACCACACCTAAACTCCCGAAACTCGCCACCCTGATGCCCAATTAACCTCGGAACAGCCGAAACGTAAAACCCAAATTCACACCACGCACCGAAGAAGTTTAAATCCCAAGCCTGCCCTAAAACTAGACTGGCGGAGGCTGCACTCCGCGAAGCCGTGGAGGCAGCCACGGCCGGTGAAGTGGCGGAGGCCTTGGGGCTTTGTATAATACAAGCCATCGAAACATGCGTAGTTTGCAAGCTATTTTGGGGTTGAATGTGGGGCTTGAATAATTGGAATTAGAATGGGTTTTTTGGGCATGGTAAACTTTGGTAACATTGGGACTGTATGTGGGCATTGCTACTACTTGTTCAGAACCCTATGTTGGGGTTTGGTTTCTCTTAGTTTGGGGATCTGGGTCCGGACTCAGGAGATTTAAGGTCTGAAAGACTAGGCCGTTGGGTTTCTTCAGGTTTTTAAGGTTTAGCTTCGGGCTAAGGATGCTAAGCTTTACGCGTTTGGCAGTTTGTAACTGCCTGAACTCGAGTTCCTTCTCCAAGTTCGACGGGCAGGATCTAGCAAAAAGATGAAAACAGCGACCTTGACCGCAACCACCAGCAATCGTCGATTACATTGTTACATGGTTGTTCCTGCAAAGGGTATCTCGAAATGTTGCAGTGGGAACTGCTAACTAAGTGCAAGAGAGACGTGATTCATTCTTTCGCAATGGTTGAGTTGTATTGTTGAAATACCGTTAACATTGCGATCATCGGTGGTGTCATGAGGATGGCTCTATTGCTGCAGCGCAAGAACCATATCACCTTTTTCCTGTTGTCGGGATTATGAGCATGGCTGTGTCTCATTCCATGCTGATGCAGCAGACGACGGCGATCGTTATGGTGATCAGTGTGTGATCATGACAATGGTGATGATGATGCTGATGATGGGGATGATGACACCGATGACACAAATTGCAGTGATCATCATCGTTATCTCGCAGAATATTGCAGATCATAGACAACAATCTGCGGTTTTGCTGTCAGTAGTACCATCCCTGCGAGTTCATTGAGTCATGTTCGGGCACCTGCCAGGCGTCACTGGCTAAAGCTGCGGCCTTGGAGGCATGGATCCCACTTAGGTGGTTGTTGTTTTGCTGATTATGGGCCTGTAATACCAAGATCTCACTCAGCGGGTCCACTGTGACAACTATCGCGACAATATGCAGTCTGCTTATGACACTTTTGGGCCGGCAGTCTTGGAGATTATAGGGCTGTGGGCTTAGAAGGGGTCTCGCGTAGGATTTTGGGATGTCACGGTCTGAATTTGAAAGGCCAGGGGCTGGTGTGGTAGGTTTGGGGACTGAAAGGTTCACTGCAACACAGGGAGCAAACTGCCGACACGGTGATCGAGAGAGGGTGGTAAATCGAACATCCCCCTCCCCGCCCTCAAGAGCACCCCAATTCTGGACGCCCACAAAGCCCATACCGCCTACCCTCAAAACCCGAGAAGAAGCCCTAAGTCCCGTACTAGCGCAGGAACAGGCTGCTGTGGCAGAGTGCCGGGCATCCGTCCAGGACGAGGTGCGAAGTGGGTCAAAGCAAAGCGCGTCTCCCGGGTTTTAGGTTGTTGAAGAGGATGTCACGTGGTGCAGGGTTTCGACCGTTTGGTTGTTCGGGCTGTGAAAGGGTTTCAGACGGGCTTGGAAAGGGATCAACTCGGCTTGGGCAGGGGAAATCTTTGCATTGTAAAGGATGCTGAGGCGCAGTTGCGGGTCCTGTGAGGGATCCATGCAAATACACTCTGCCGAGTACGAGTCCAAGTCCTCCGACGTCGGAGGCTTTCATGCCGGAATGTGGCAGGAAAGCGGGGTGTGCTGATATTGTGTGCAGCGTTACCTGCTGGTCTTCTTGCTCTCTCCCTGGCTGGTCGTGTGCTGGTGTGGCATCTGTTTGGTTTGTGTTGCTTGCCTGCTGTTTCCACTCCACCATTGATCGTGTGTTTCATGGTTTCGTCCAGTCTTTTCAAGCTCGCCGTGCTGTTAATTGCCTCCTTTGTTTCCATTTCCTACTCGGAAGGCCTCGAGCACTAACAACAAAACAGCACCTACATTCGACCTTAAACCCTAAGCTGATAAACCTTGTCGCCCTGCAAAACAGGCACCCTTCACCGCCCCAAAGCCCTCAGCCGGCGAGGTCACGTCTGAGCTCCATGGCCTCCTTCAGGCCGCGTGTGCCGACCTCTCGGGTGACGGCACTGCTTTGCGAGGTGGGGTGGACAGGTCATCGTGTGCAAAAGGGTTAATTTGTTTGCATTATTGTTGTTGTCAAGTTACTGTTGTACACTGACAGCACAGGATTACAACTATAGACAAACCATCTCATCTCTACTGTTGTGTATCGCTGCCATTGACTATCATAGTTATTAATTATTGCGGCTACTGCTATGACGCTGTTGGCTTTGAGGACAGACGTTGGTTGTTCGGGGCGTGTTGTTTAGCGGCTTGAAGGCAAAATCAAGGGCTGTTGTGTTTCACAGGCGGCCTTTGGGAATATGTGTAAAGCTTTTCGGTGTCTTTTTGAAACGTGTAGGTGCTCTATCGCAAGGCTCAATTTCGGCTGTTTTAGGGTTCATGGGTGTCTGGTCTAAATACGGGTGTAGGCTAAATCAATTAGAGTTTGTGGTTTCGTTCGCTCTCCGAGCTCTGGTCATAAACATTTGGAAGTTTATACAGCGGAGACCCGGAACTAAGTCCAATTCCTTTATCTTGCAGCCTAATCCGTCCCGCAGACTCTTACAGACAAAAATCAAGAGTTCTCACAAGTTCATAAGCCCTGACGACAGGAGTGCCACAAAGCAGCCAGGAGCTGTGGGACGCTTTGGACACTTGAGCTTCGTGCGTGCATTCAGGATTCAGGCACTTAGGGTTCAATGGCTCAGGGGTATTCGGTTTAGGTTTGTCGAGGCGGAAGCATCGCTCCAAGGTCTTGTTAAGGAGGCACGGTTTGCGGTTGTAAACGCGGGACCCGAAAGGCCTAAAGGTACTCTGCCAACGACTCAGGACTCAGGAGTTTCCCGCCACAGTGCAAGCCTCGAGCGGGCTTTTTCCAACGTCTTTGGCGTTCGAAAACATGAAAAAAAGATCATCTCCATAAGCTCACACCACAAAACGTGTGACATCATTCTGCCCTGAAGCCCGAAAACTCCACATGTTAAAACCGTAAGAGAACTAACGCCCCACAGCCCCAAATCTGAACATTTTTAAAGCTTTGACCCCCAAAACCCCAAAACCCGAAACCCGAACCTTACGAACCCTACGAGTTCCGAGGAGCTTCTCGTGGAGCTTACCGGAACCCTTCGCGACGCCATTTGCCTGGGTGCTCGGTAGCCTCTGGCTGTTTGTGTGTCAGGGCTTAGGCTTCGCAGTCTGTGCGGTTTGCCTTATTAAACACCCCAAAAGCGAGTATTTATATTTACATTCAGAGCTCATGGTCGGGTCTTGAGGTCTTTGTCATTGGAGAGAAGTTGATCGCATCCATGGTCGCGACAGCGTAGTCATGAGAGGGAACTGAAAGTTATTTTCCTTAACACAGCAACCCAACGGAGTTGTTCGGAGTAAGAGATTAGTTGAGAGCAAGCATCACGAGTTTCCGTACGAAGTGCAGGATGTGATCCAATTGCTCGCCGGGCGGCACGAAGGATTGAATCCAAGGTGAAAGAAATCTGTAGGTCTTGAATAGCTTGGTGCGAAGCCTTTAATCCTAAACCCTAAAACCCGAAGCCCCTTTAAAGAAAGCCCGACAATGATCATGCGGGAAGCCGTCGTAAAACGCACAACCCCAAAACTTAAAACCTTAAGCCGACAGAGCGGCTGAAGCCATCAGCCACGAGGCCACGAGGTGCAAACGAATCCTTGCTGGAGACCCAAAAAGTGTGTTTTCTAAGTGTACTTGTTTGGGGTGCTTTTCGGGCACCTGCAGGTTCGGGTTTTTGGGGTTCAGCGTTGTATAGGTTCATTTGTTGGGGTCCTAGTCCAGATGCTTGGATAAACGCTGAGGCAGGCATGAACGCATGCGCACTGCAGCCTTTCCTCAAAAGCAAGGTTTAGGACCTTTGCACCTGCGTTTGGGGTTTACGAATTTTCTCGTGTCCTCAACTCTATCAAAAGAATGTTTCGGGACTTGTGTGGTGGCAGTGTTTTGCGAAATTTGCAGGATAACCAGTCCGAAGTCCCTGATCCAAAGTCCAGTATTATGCGACCTTCAGGGAGGGATGTCGGGGCGGAGGATTGATTTCTGTTCTTTCGTGCCCAAACCTTCGGATTCCTTTGGCTTCGGCTTGAGGATTGGGGAGGTCCATGCCTAAATCTACAAGGGCCCTAAGCCCATCGAGCAGCCGAACCTTTAGAGTGCAATGTTGCGCAACCTGAACACCGAAAGCTCCACAAGACCTCGCAGATCCGGGACCGGGGTACAAGGCATGCCAACATCGGGCTTGCGTTGAGTAATCTCTGCGGAGTTGGTGCAGGACATGGAAGGGGCAGGGGCAAGGCAAGGATGCGAAGGGAGACAAAGGAACCTGCCAAGGCAAAGGTGACAATGGATGGCAGAAGCAGCTGCAAGGCTAGAGTAATATAGGGGCTTTAATGATTACCTATACTATTTTGGAGGTTTCTTCTTATAGTCATAGCATAGTGGGACCCAAAACCCTATTCTAACTATTTTTGACCCCTACATTATGCTATAGCGCTGTATAGCGCTACATTGGTAATGACCGCCAAGGCTGGGTCGGCTTTTGGCTGGAAGTCCTCAGCTTGCAAACCCATACCCCCCACAAGCTTGAAGCCAAAAAATCCTTATGCCCTACAACCATAATCCTGAATTAGGGTTTATCTGTGGGCACTCCGTGGTATCGAAGCAGAATCTGGCCCGTTGAGCTTTGCTGTAAGGTTGAGGGTTCGTAGGTTTTTGGTCGTTGCATTAGAGCTCAGGGCGTGTAGGTTTAGAGCATGACGATGGGTTGCGCTTTAGATAAGACTCAAAGGTTCAAATTTTCGGTGCCGGCTGCGCATCCTCACGGCCATGTGCATAGGGCCTCCATAAACGAAGGGTTTGCCTTTCAAAAGAACTTTTGGCCCGTGCGGCCCTAAGGCTTCCACAAAGGCTCTCAGTCGCTGCGGGCGCACGGCCTCAAGGCTTCCACACAAGGCTCGAAGTCACTGCGAGCTGTCAGCCCGCACGGCCTCAAGGGTTCCACAAAAGGCTCTGAGTCGCTGCGGGCTGCCAGCCCGCACGACCTCAAGGCTTCCACAAATGCTCTGAGTCGCTGCGGAGTCGCACGGTGGCACCTTCTCGAGGAAGCTCCATTCAAAGACCCCATCAGACAATAGTCAATAACCCTAAACCACGCTCCGATGCCGAGGCAGCAGCCTGCGGCGGAGCTTGTGCAGGCTTTTGTTGTGAAGAGTAGACTTCGCAGAACTTCTGTCATGCACGGAGGTTTCATAAAATGCGGGGTCTCGTGTTAGTGGTCCGCATATCAGGCATACGGCATACTCCGGGTCTATATTCGGGTCCCTTGCTGTTCTAACTCCAGACGGCACCAGCCGAGCATATGCTGTGCTTGTGCACGCGAATTGAATTTGGCCAGGTTCTATGTGTTGCTGTGTGCATGCATGCCATGGAAGGTGTATGTGACTTCACCTGCTTCACCGTGACCCGTCAACAAAACCAGGGAAACTCCATCCAGTCGCAGATTGCCTTGTGGGCCTTGTTGGAAAATGAACCAGTCTTCCCGAGTACGAACTTGCCATTTCCTTCATCCAGCTAGCAGCTAGCATTGAAGCAGTTGGGTAGTTGGATGTGTCGGAACACCGCTGCTTTATGGCTAAACTTAACTTCAGCCCGGTTATCTTTTTTTAGAGTTTTTTACCTTCATGCCAAAACTGCAACGTTTTTTGGAGTAATTGGAGTAAAACTGGGAGGGAGAGAGTTCTGGAAGCCTCAACTTGGAGGTATAATTTGGAGCTCTGAGAACTAAATCCGTTCGCTCGCACGGTCGCATTGGATACCGGGTACCAACAAGGCTGGACGGCCTCAACCATAAGCCCCAAACTCCCACCTCCCACGGTCTCAATTCCCTGTTATGCTGCAAGGGATCTGCGCCAAGAGCTCCGTGACCAAGTGCGCAGTGAACTCGTCGTTGCTTGAGGGATTTTATGTTTAGTGTTTTAGGTTTGAGGGTTCGGCACATGGCCGTGGCTTGTACAAGGTTCAGAGAAAAACTTGAGGGGGTTCTTTGGATTTTTTTACTGTAGTGAATTCGAGAGTGGGGTCCAGTTCGAGTGGAAGAAAATGTAGCAAGGCTTGTGGGTTCTCCTTCCCAGATTTTAGCCCTCCCCAGGTATTTTCAAGGTTTGGATTCACGAGACAGTTGACAGCTATAGGTCGATGCAAGCCAAGAGTGTCACCACAGCCGAGAGAAGGAACCCCGATTCCCCCAAATCGCCAAACCCTGAAACCCCCAAGCCCTGAACGCTGGGCAAAATGCCGAAACACCGAAACCTATGTTCAGGTTCAAGGCTTGATCGAACTCGAAACCCTCGACAAATCCCTCGACCCACAAGCAAACGACTTGTAGGACCCACAACTGAGTGAAAATGGCCAGGTGAGAGCTTGAGCTCTTGCCGACTGTCACGTCGCGAGGCACAGGGTTGCCGGACTTGGTCCGGCTTTGTACTTAAACTCATAACATGGAGCTTGGTTCTTTAGGGCTAACAGTTTCTAGGCCTTGAGGGCGCTTGAGCCGTATAGGCCTTGGACTCTGAAAGTTTATACTCGTTGCCCTCATGACAAACCTTGGTTAGGGTTTCGAGCTGGAGTTGATTGCGATGTCAGCAGGTTGTTGTTACGGTTTGGGATTACGGCTGGGGTTTGAGTAATTTAGGTCGGAGGCTTTTGGAGTTAGGGAGGCCTGGAACCGATTCACCTCAGGCTTCATCCAGTCGCAGCACAACGGGCTCTCGAAGCGATCGAAGGTCGCTGCCTTGGAGCTCGAAAGGTGCAGGGTTTAGGCAGTGGGTAGTGCCTAGGTTGACATGCGCAGAGCGAGACGTTTATGCTCTATGCTAAAATGACATTTGCAATTGACTCTCTCTCTCTCTCTATCCATATATATATATACACATATAGATATGTATGTGTACATATATATATATATATATATATATTTTTATTTGTACACATACATGCATATACACACACACACATACATACTTTCACTTTCGACGCTGCTAAAGTTCGAGCTTCGGCGAGCGATGGAGGAATGACAGGCTTATCGCCCGGCTCACGTGCTATGCTTGGCATATCCTTCCGCTCAGAGAACTTGAATGACCCCCGGCACGAATGCCCCCATGCGGAGCCTACAGTGGCCTTTGATCTTCAGAAACATATATAAAGCAGCATATACACGTCCTTATACAACGGAATCACTTCACTCTCATACATACATACATACATACATACATACATACATACATACATACATACAATACACACACTCATATATTATTTATATATACGCCTTTGTGCATACATATATATATATATATATATATGTATATCAACGTGTACGCGCGCGCGCGTGTCTGTGTGTGTGTGTGCTCGTCTTTGTGTGTGCGTGTGTGTGTGTGCATACATATATATATATATATATATGTTATGCATATACATATATGGAGTAAGTATAAGTATAGACACACGCACATGCGCACATACATTCGGACAACTCCGTCATCTCGGCCCTAAATCTCTAAACCGTAGGCTTCACCTTTGTTTGTTTCCTTGGCGAAGTGACATGTGCAGAGAACAAGGGGCCCTAACATAGGTCTTTGAACAAATGGATCCACATCATAAGGACCGCTAAACTACGGCACCCTTAACTTTAAGAAACCCTGTAAGCATTTAGAACGCCTACGAACAGGTTCTAGGTTCTAGGACTTGGGGTTTTACGCCTTATGTTCGCAAGCTAGAGGGCTTCTACAAGCTTTGGTACTTGATTGAATGCTTTGGGGTTTAGGGTACATGTTTTGGTTTCATGGTTTTATGTAAGAGCAGGACGCTGTGTGGCACTGTAAGCCTCTGGCTTGAGGGCCTACTGGCAGAAGTTATGCACTTCGCGACCACGTGTGTATTCATATAACATCCGGTCTAAAAGCCGTGTAAGCCCCGAACGAAACAAGACGTTCAAACTTCCTGCCACAGCCTCTCCTCGAAACCCTGAGCCTTAACACCACGAAACCTCACGAACAGCATGATGAGGTTGATGTTTTGTTGCAGGCCCACTTGCTCTGTCACCTCGCCGAAGAGCGCTGCGAAGCAGGACCTGGCAGAAATCCGCAGCCATTGGCGGCTCGATACTCCTAACGAGAACGGATCCCGCCCTAAGACTATGAAATGAACATCGCTTGCGAGCTTGGAGTCTCTCTGGGCAACTCCTTAGGTTGTCGCCGAACCACCTATCCTTTCCTTCGCAAATGCACTGCGAGTTGGCATCGGCTCGCTCACCCTCTCGGCATTCCCTAAATACAGGACCCTGAAGTAGATATCTGTTCAGGGACTACAAGGAGTTCCTCTTACAAATTATTGAAGCCACTTCATTAACTCACGGCCGGTTGTCGCTGTTGTTCTTGGTGGTGCTCTGGCTCCAACTGCGGGAGTTGGGCTGTATGTCTCGAAGCCGCCGGGCCAGGTAGAAGGGTCAGAGGAAGGTCCCTCCAGAGCACAGCAATGAAACACGACCTTAGGCCGTCCACGCACTTGCTCGACACCTAGAGGATATCGAGACAGCACAGAATTGCCACGGCTGGAAATGCATCCGGAGCCCGCCCAGCAAAGAGACGCCTTTGGGCGTGTTCTTGTTGCTTCACGGGCGAATCAGAAGCAGCGAACAGCACAATGGAGTTCATTCGGATAAAAAAAGACAGGCTGCACGACAGACACGCCCTTGTCCGGCTTAGGCCGTTTGACTTGGATCATTTGTGTTCGTTAGCGGCCGGTAAAGATCTGTTTATCATAAGGGTCCTTATTATAAGTAACCCGGTTAACTTGACATCCATCGGGCATCATCTTGGGTTGAGCAAAACCACAAACACCCTCCCAGAATTCAAAGAACATTCATCAACAGCGCTGTAAAATCCTTGGGACACCATCTAATACAATCCCGCACTGAACCTTTAACGGAGGAGCTCTCGCGGCGCGGCGCGGCGTTGATGGCCGCCTTTGCCCTTGCGGAGGGCGACGAGGCTCCGGCTGCGAGCCAATAGCAAGTCTGGGATTCCTTGACGGGTTCGAAAAGGGGAGCTATAAGGTATAAGGACCCCACGAAGTTCGTGATCCCTTACATTCCCTTACCAAGCCGATACCTGAACCCGTGTTCCCACTCGACCTGTCCTGTCTCATATCGCAGGCCGGCTTCTCTCCCATTCCCATGGATGGCCAAAGTGAGAGAGTTTGGTAGCGTGCCGGGTTCAGGGTTTAGGGCGGGTGCTACATTAATGCAAGAGTATCGTGCCGACTGCTCGGGCTCTTCGATGGAGTAGGAACTCAAGGTTCCTATGACTTCCGTGCTTTCACGTGAACAGAGGACGCCACAACCATGCCCTCAAAAACCATCGACCTCTTAAGAGGGACGTGGAACTGTTGACTCACTCCTGCTCTTGTAGGCGTGGGGCTTTACAGGTTTAGATCAGGGGGTGTCGGGGCTGAAGTCGACAAACGAAACGTTGAAGTCTGAGTCATAGGAGTAAGCCCGCCCTGGGCCCAGTACTGCGGCTTAGAGCTGCTAGGGTGCGTGACGCTCGGTGCATCCAAAGCCGATGCTGGGCGCCATGCAGGTCGCTGGGCGCTTCGCGTGCCAGCATGTACAAAGACCAGTGACTGTCGAGGAACCCCAAACCCTCCACAACCTGCAACTTGAATCACCTCGACTGTGCAGGGTTCATCGGCATTCCCACCTGGAGTCGTGTTCCGAGCACACAGCTGCCTGTGTGCCAAGCGCACGTGTCAGGAGCATGTTTTGAAATCGGATGGGGAGCAAAGTGATCAGAGATTGCATGGTGTACGGGTAACCTTCATACACTGCTGTTAATAAAGGCTTGATGCCGGTCAGTTTTCGAACTGCCAAGCATTCACCCGACTCAGCTTGTTGGGGATGGCTAGAAAGTACGGTAGTGGGAAACCGTCTAAGAAGTTATTTAAATGTTGCCTGAACCCTCGGCCCTACACTCCTACACTAAAAATTTACTCTAGATCTTGAGGGTGTCGGGCTTAAGTCATAATGCTGAAGGTTTGCACTGCTACCGCGCGCCCCAGTTCTCGAAACCCGAACCCCAAAACGCGAAACCCTGTGTTTCGAAGGTTCAGGCGGGAGCGCAAAGTTCATTACTTTGGGCTGTCCCGGGGGCTTGATGACTACTTACAAAGCAGCGCCCCCAAGTCAAAATATGTCTGCAGTATTAGAGACAAATTAAAACCCCAGTCTAATTGTGGAATCATGCCCCTATATTGTGAGTTCAGGTGTGTTTGTGTGATCTTGGGGGTTTTTGCCTGCAGATGGATTCCAACTCTGCTGCTTCAAGAACTGTGGTGCCGATTTCCAATCCTCGTGGTTTGTGTTCAGCTTGACAGAAGAGCGCTACTGCTACACTCCCCACAGGCCCCGCGGCAGAATCTGGCATGTATGCGACTGCCAGCCCCCCAAAAGCCCGCTTGAAACTTTGTGGATGTCTTCACAACCCTCCACTTTTCTCGGTGATGATCGAGCTTGCTGCGTTGTTGCATCCTGGTCCGTGCCGCCGCGTTGCCACTCCGCTTCGAGCCTGGAAGCTGTGCAAAGCACACGGGCCCGCGGCCCAGTGGCTGGGTGTTTGTAGATTTTCAGGCTCATGGTGACCGTGCAAGATCAAGCCTAACTTGTCCAAAGACTGACGCCACTTGTGCTTCGTCCGGCTCGAGTTCTGAAGTTGTACTTGGGCAAGGCTTATGCACTCAAGGCCTAGCTCCAATATTAGTTTAATATTAGTATTAGTATTATAGTAGTAGTACTAGTATTAGTATTAGTAGTAATACTGGGTTCAGCCCCTTTGTTGGTTTCTTTGGCTGCTGCTCTGGGCAGCAGGAAAGGGGCAGCACATGGGAGTGTTCAAGTGCCTTCTTCGGTGCTATTTTGGAAATATCCTACTCGTACTATATTTGTGGCCCTCAGTTCCTGAAAGATCTTGTCAGACAAACACAAGGGAACCAGCAAGAGATGTGTTTGTTCCCCAATAGCCCATTATTGAACGGCAACTGGAGCCTTCTGAATTGCTGATGAGATGTACCTGTGACAGATCCGAACGGAATGAACCTGACATCCGCATCCTGAACCACTGAAGCTTTCCGGATGACGCCCAGGCAAATTAGAGCCCGTCCTCGCCTTTGCACCAGATTTTTTCCTCCCCACTCACTGCGACCTTTGCTTCCGCTCGGGGCTCAGCGTCCAAGTGCTGCTGGCTGTCACAATGAGCCCCAACCCGAAGCCGTGGACACGAGCAATCCCAGCCTTCCCGCATGACTGGGCTTAGGGTGGGTCCGATTGCCGAACCCGACAGTTGAAGGGGTTCAAGGCCCAGTTGAAGCCTTAGGGGTTTCGGGTCTTCTAGGGTTTAGGGATTTGCAAACCAGAATCCCTAAGCTTTAAACTGTCGAAAACTGCTGCATGTCGCTCAGATGGCTTCCACCGGCCGAACCATGTCCATTGCTATTGGCGCCGCAGGACGGGTCTGTTACCAAGACCTACAAAGACGGCTAGATTAAGCCAAACACGCATGTTGTGTGTGTGTGTACATTGTGTGTGTGTGTGTGTGATTGTGGGATATGTATACTATGCATACATGTAGGAAGTGTATGTGCAATTTTATGCTATTTGTGCACATGCACATGAACGCGTGTATGTATCTACAACCGCACATACACATAGGCAAACATGTGTGCGCGTGCATGTGCTACATACACATACATATGCATATTCATATACATGTACATATACATATACA